GGACTCATAGAATGAGTTTGGGAGTGTTCCTTCCTCCTTTTTTGGAAGAGTTTGAGAAGGATGGGTGTTAGCTCTTCTCTGAATGTTTGATAGAATTCACCTGTGACGCCATCTGGTCCTGGACTTTTGTTTGTTGGAAGATTTTTAATCACAGTTTCAATTTCATTACTTGTGATTGGTCTGTTCATATTTTCTCTTTCTTCCTGGTTCAGTCTTGGAAGGTTATACCTTTCTAAGAATTTGTCCATTTCTTCCAGGTTGTCCATTTTACTGGCATAGAGTTGCTTGTAGTAGTCTCTTAGGATGCTTTGTATTTCTGCACTGTCTGTTATAACTTCTTCTTTTTCATTTCTAATTTTATTGATTTGAGTCCTCTCCCTCTTTTTCTGATGAGTCTGGCTAATGGTTTATCAATTTTGTTTATCTTCTCAAAGAACCAGCTTTTAGTTTTATTGATCTTTGCTATTGTTTCCTTTGTTTCTATTTCATTTCTTTCTGCTGCTCTGATATTTATGATTTCTATCCTTCTGCTAACTTTGGGTTTTGTTTGTTCTTCTTTCTCTAGTTTCTTTAGGTGTAAGGTTAGATTGTTTACTTGAGATTTTTCTTGTTTCTTGAGGTAGGCTTGTATAGCTATAAACTTCCCTCTTAGAACTGCTTTTGCTGCATCCCATAGGTTTTTGATCGTCATGTTTTCGTTGTCATATGTCTCTAGGTATTTTTTGATTTCCTCTTTGATTTCTTCAGTGATCTCTTGGTTGTTTAGTAATGTATTGTTTAGCCTCCATGTGTTTGTGTTTTTTACGTTTTTTTCCCTGTAATTCATTTCTAATCTCATAGCGTTGTGGTCAGAAAAGATGCTTGATATGATTTCAATTTTCTTAAATTTACTGAGCCTTGATTTGTCACCCAGTATGTGATCTATCCTGGAGAATGTTCCATGCGCACTTGAGAAGAAAGTGTAATCTGCTGTTTTTGTATGGAATGTCCTATAAATATCAATTTAATCTATCTGTTCTGTTGTGTGATTTAAAGCTTCTGTTTCCTTGTTTATTTCCATTTTGGATGATCTGTCCATTGGTGTAAGTGAGGTGTTAAAGTCCCCCACTATTATTGTTTTACTGTTGATTTCCTCTTTTATAGCTGTTAGCAGTTGCCTTATGTTTTGAGGTGCTGCTATGTTGGGTGCATATATATATATATATTTATAATTGTTATATCTTCTTCTTGGATTGATCCCTTGATCATTATGTAGTGTCCTTCCTTGTCTCTTGTAACATTCTTTATTTTAAATCTATTTTATCTGATATGAGTATAGCTACTCCAGCTTTCTTTTGATTTCCATTTGCATGGAATATCTTTTTCCATCCCCTCACTTTCAGTCTGTATAAGTCCCTAGGTCTGAAGTGGTCTCTTGTAGACAGCATATATATGGTTCTTGTTTTTGTATCCATTCAGCAAGCCTGTGTCTTTTGGTTGGAGCAGTGAATCCATTCATGTTTAAGGTAATTATCGATATGTATGTTCCTATGACCATTTTCTTAATTGTTTTGGGTTTGTTTTTGTAGATCCTTTTCTTCTCTTGTGTTTCCCACTTAGAGAAGTTCCTTTAGCATTTGTTGTAGAGCTGGTTTGGAGGTGCTGAATTCTCTTAGCTTTTGCTTGTCTGTAAAGCCTTTGATTTCTCCATCGAATCTGAATGAGATCCTTGCCGAGTAGAGTAATCTTGGTTGTAAGTTATTCACTTTCATCACTTTAAGCATATCATGACACTCCCTTCTGGCTTGTAGAGTTTCTGCTGAGAAATCAGCTGTTAACCTTATGGGAGTTCCCTTGTATGTTATTTTCCATTTTTCCCTTGCTGCTTTCAATAATTTTTCTTCATCTTACTTTTTGCCAATTTGATTACTATGTGTCTCGGCATGTTTCTCCTTGGGTTTATCCTGTATGGGACTTGCTGCACTTCCTGGACTTGGGTTGCTATTTCCTTTCCCATGTTAGAGAAGTTTTTGACTATAATCTCTTCAAATATTTTCTCTGGCCCTTCTCTCTCTTTTCTCCTTCTGGGACCCTTATAATGCAAATGTTGTTGCGTTTAATGTTGTCCCAGAAGTCTCTTAAACTGTCCTCATTTCTTTTCATTCTTTTTTCTTTATTCTGTTCCGCAGCAGTGAATTCCACCATTCTGTCTTCCAGGTCACTTATCCATTCTTCTGCCTCAGTTGTTCTTCTATTGATTCCTTCTAGTGTAGTTTTCATTTCAGTTATTGTATTGTTCACTGTTTGTTTGTTCTTTAATCCTTCTAGGTCTTTGTTAAACATTTCGTACATCTTCTCGATTTTTGCCTCCACTCTTTTTCCGAGGTCCTGGCAGGCGGATTCTTAACCACTGAGCCACCAGGGAAGCCCAGGATGAATTTTTATAAACAAGATCTACAATGAAAGGGAAACGGCATCTGATACATAAAAGTTTTGTTAAACAAGATTTAAAAATTTTTAAATCAAAGTGTTTTAGACTAAATTCTTTCAAATGTTCAAACGAAAACAAAAAGCAACCTGTACAGTCTCCATAATAAAATGTGTCCTTGTACACTTGTCCTGGGTGCTTTGAAAATGTCATAATTTTAGAAATTTGAGTGATAGAGGCAGCACTTAAAGGTTTCGTGAACCTTTTTTTCCCAAAAAAGAATACTTTCGATAAAACACTTTACCATTTTATCTGACTATGCATTTACATTGTTGTTCTTCCAGAAAAAGATTTACATTAACACTGTATTTTTACTGTAAAAAAATACATTTAGAGATATTTAACTTCCTGAGTGACTTCAGTCATACATCGAACATGATTTAATGAGCAAATTCTAAAATTTTATAATGAAATAGCAAGTGTATGTAGATGTATACCTGTATGCTCACTTACGATAAAACTCAAAATCATGTCACAGAATTTACACTTAAGTTCTCTAAGAAGTTAAATAATATGATTTATCCCCAAACTTGACCAAAAGGTTTTCTCAAATGTTAGTAAAATGCATCACTGAATTTACATTTTCTCATTTAGTAACAAAATACTGAGTCATTTCAGGCTGTCAACTTGAATGTTTTCCATTATATACACCAAAAATCTGATTCCCTAACAAGAAACTTCTTGCAATACAAAAGGATAACAGATAATTAAAATATTTGCTTCATAATACAACTTATCAGTATAATACATCCGTTCCTCAATTGTCTAAAATGATTAGGAATTGTAGCACTTTCTTTTGCATAAAACCCTTTCCTCTTCTTAAAACCCTGAGGTGAAAGGTTATTAATGTAATAAAACGAGAACCACAATTCTTCTCATTTCTGTATTGGACTGCAGTTAGGTTTAAAAAATTTTATAAAGAAATGTGGCAACTTGTAAAGCTGCTCTATAGAGTTTTTTTTAAGAAAACATTCCCAGAAACAACTTAACAAAAAGGGCCTATAAAGACCCTATGAAAACATCCCTTTAACACTTGTTAGTGTCAAGATGAGCGCCATTTTCCATCTCTACCACTGTCTCTTCTGTTATCATAGTCATGGCTCCAGCCATCGTGATTTCTCTCTTCATAGAAGAAATCATCTCTGTTTCCTCTGTAATGATGGTTGGACCCATGATCAGTGTAAAGCTGTTCATGGCAATAATGTCTATCCACTATGTAGGGATGAGAATTCTCTCTGACTTTTCGCCATGATAATGGTGTATCTTGGCGCCACTGGGAGGTTGAAGACTGGTTAAAAGTATGATTATGTGACTGAACTGATGGGGAAAATCCTGATTGATCCAGATGTGGAGAACCAAATTTCCCTCCATATGACATCTGTCTCAAAATACTGTTCATCACTGCTTGTCTCTGAAAATTTTCTGAAGAAGAAAAAGACCTTTGAATTATCGGTGCTGATGGAGTCATGTTATCCACTGTCCTTTCATACCTGCTAGGAGATGTGGAAGTAGGGCTTGAACTTCCAACATGATGCTGGGGATATGACAAACTGACCTCCTGTGAGGCAAGGCTACTTCCTGATCTAAACTGAAGTTTGATGGGCCTTCCAAAAAGTTTGATTCCGTTAAGCAGATGTATGGCATAAGGAACAGATACTTCATGTTTGAAATTCACAAATGCAAACTGCTTTGGTTTACCATCCTTATCTTTTGGAATTTTCACTTTTATTACTGGCCCAGCCTGGTAGAAAAGCTGGAAAAGCAGCTCCTCTGTCACTTTCGTTTCAAGGTTGCCCACAAAGAGAGTACCATCTGCTTCGGCTGCCACCGCCCCCATCTCAGCATCGTCCCCTCCCAAAAAAGTGGGGTCAGTCTTGACTCCTCATTTTATCTGAGCACTTCTCCAATCTCATCTAATCCAGTCCAATCCAATCCAATCCAGTCAATGTCATCTAACCCGGTGCAGCGCTACCAAGGTTGGCCATTCCACCTTCTAAGTATACACCCCCCCCAACATCCTTCAGTGCATACACCCCGCACCCCTTTTGCTCTGCTAAGACCCTAATCTAAGCTGCCATCACCTCTTGGGTAAACTGCTGCAGTTCCTTCTAACTGCTCATACTGCATTCACTTTTGAACACCATCTGGCAATTTGCTACATGACTGCAAGCGTGATCTTTTAAAGTTTTCCTTAATTTCTCTGTGTCTCTGTTTCCTTATCTGTAAAATTGGGATAATGATAGCCCTTCCCTCATAGATTCGTTGTGAGGATAAAAAGAATTATTATGTTAAAATACTGAGAATAGTGCCAGGCACTAAGACCTCATTAAACTGTTATTGAGACCTTACACAGTGTTGCATTAAGCCAAGTAAAAGGTATGATTATGACAGAAAGAAGTTTATTAATAATAGATTTGAATGGAGTAATTATTAGCTTGTTTATACTTAATTGTGCTATATGTGTTCACATAAAAAATCTGCAACTCTTATAATGCGTGACCTTATTATGTGTAATTTTTTTCTTAATTAAAAGGCTAAGAAGCACCAGGCTTTTCTGGTAGAGACATGTGAAAATAACGTGAAAGAGTTGGAATCAATCTTGGACAGCTTTTCTATGTCTGGCCAGTGGACATCAGGTTAGTTGAAGGTATGAAATGACAGATGCATCTGTCAATGTTCCAAAGTCACTGCATTTTGGGAATTCTGCAGATGCCTCTTATAGTCCCTCATCTCAACATGTTTTGATTTGATGACATGATAAGAGCAGTTCTCACAGCAGTCAGTTGGCCTAGCTGGCTAAGAAAGGGTGACGGACTGTGGACCTGCTGTTGTACTCCCAGAACTTGATTTACAAGTGTTGGTGTCTGTGTGATTGGACAGACAAGGGCTCACTTGCTGTGTTCTGAATCCAACTGAGAAAAAAGTCCTTACAGTATACCTGCAAGGGGAACAGATGTTTCCATCAAACTGAGCCAAATTCTGAGCAACCTTCAGCAACTTAAAGGTCATGCATTCAAAAGGTTATGTAGGACACAGGCTGTAACGCAGTGCATATTCTACACTATTGCTTTCTAGGCTGATTTTCTCCTTGATTCCCTACTACCGTATACATACTCTCCAGATAAAAGTGCTTAGGTAAAAATGTTTTGGTTTTAGTATTAGCCCACTTAATATGATAAAGAACTGTAAAGATTGTATATTGGTTAGGCATATTTTGGGAACTAGGAAAAGCATTAGTTGGCTAATGAGTTCCGTCCATTCCATGATTTCTACTTCCTTAATTTTTTTGTGTGTATGCCATTATGTGTGCTATAGTAGCTTTGACTTAAATACTTTCACTTTTCTACCTGTTTTCTTTTGCCATACTGTCAACCTCAAATTATTTAGTTGCTTTCTAACTCAGTTATATTTTTCAAAAAAGCATATAAAATTAAATTCCTTACACCTTAAAATAGCTTGAAGACTCTGTTTTTCTAAAGGAATCAAACAGATATTGGGCAAATGAGTTCTTTAGGAAACACTTAAGTTCAGGAAAGTTTGTTGTCCTCAAAAAAGCAGAAAGATATGAACAAGGCCTATTTTCACATTATGGATCTGCAGATTTCTGTTGGTGAACCATTAGAAATTTAGTGTGATTTGCTATTATCTATTTTTAACTTTGTTTTTATTTAAACATTTTCTAAAAGCATTAGTGTTTCATGGTTTGTTACTGTGGAAAAATCAAGGTGTATACAAGTGACATAAAAATATAGATATCCACTTTTTAATTATATTTGCTAAATAAAGCTTTGGAGTATAAAATTTTCTTTTGCAGTGGTATTGTTTTATTATTGAGATTTATCATTGTTTAATGGTTTTAGGATCTTTAAAAGTTGTTAAATTATTATCATAGCATATCTTAATGCTTCAATATTCAGAGCTGAATTAGAAAAGCTAAGAATAATGAGGTCATGTCTCCTTTGAGGTTTAAAATTAGTTGATAATAAAGCAACTCATTAGTTATTACTAAACCTATAGAAAAAGAATTATCTGCAGTGGAAGTGCAGAGTCTTAACCATTGGACTGCCAGGGAAGTCCTAGTAACAATCCTTTTTGAATGTCCTAGTTTCCCATATATATATGCACATCCTATATATTACAGAGAAAGTGTTCCTGGGAAAGGGACTGTGTGTTGAATTAGTGATTTTTGTACTGTTATAGTGGTCTTTGTTTCCATATTGTGCTGGTTATTCACTTTTTACTTGCCCTAGAATCATTCTCCTATGGTCTCTGTTTTGCCTTGTAGAGGCTGACCTCTGTGGACTGCATGATCTGGGCTCCTTTGCCCTCTGGCTTTGGGGTTGGATTTGGACAGTGGGTGCACCAGCAGGAGATTAAGAGGGTGGAGGAAGAAAGGAAAGCAGAGAAAGTCAGGGTGTTTATTTCCCCTGCTCCCTCTGCTCCAGTGCATTCCTGGCAGTGGTTTCCTTTTTGGCAGCTACAGCTTCTGTCAAGTTGGGTCCTCTTCCCGTAGCTGTGGCTTGTGTTGGACTATGGTAACAACGTTCCTTCCAGTTGACCCCCCTAAGCCATGGTACTGGTTTTCCAGTCTTGCTGGTTCTTGGTGCCTCATCATATCTTTTTGGTTCTCTTAACCTTTTCACATTTCTGTAAATATCTTCATTAAATTTTCTTCCAGTGAATTCTTCTGAGTATGCCATTTCTTCCTGCTGATACCCTGACTCAGTCACATACCTGCTTCAGACTTGATTTTATTTTTGCTCTTGGCTTCCGTGAAATAGCCCTGTATAACTATAATGGACTCCCTTTCTGCTCATACCACCTCAGGTTGGGTTTTGTTACTTAACAAAGAGGGATGTAGTTAATAAAGCTTATTGCTCAACATTTTATGGAAGTGCCTGAACAATTGAGATTGCCTTACTGCATCAGACCTGGCTTCAGCTACACAGAGGTGGCCAAATAATTTGTTCCTCTGAAATGAAGTAATTAAAAAACTTATCTTAGGATAATTCAAGGGTGTGTGTGTGTGTGTGTGTGTGTGTGTGTGTGTGAGATTATTTATATAAACATGTATATATCGCATAGTATATATGTCTTTAAGAAAAAATCTATTTCAAATAGAAATATTCTTACTACGTGATGGTAGCACAGCTTTAGAATTTGTTACACAATTAATTTTGTTATCTTGGAAAGGGTTTTCCAGAGAGATCCTCTGTTTTGTAGTTATGGCAAGTAGGCCATAGTACCTTAGCCCCTTTTATTACCTCTTCATACCTTTCAGTTCAATATATACTCTACCTACCGCCCCCCGCCCTCCATTTCAGGAAAAATAATCCATGGTAGAAATTTAGAGGGATGGTTACAAATTTTTCTTTTTTTTTTTTTGACTTGCTCTTTAAGATGGTAGGAATGAAAGCTAATTTTCTGAATGAATTTTAGTCCAGAGTTGACAGCAGTTGCCAGGTGTTCTATTTCCTGTCTTCAGATTTTGTGGTCTTCTACATGAAGAAATCTTTCTGAAGCAAGAGTAACTCATCAGTTTGTCTTCATGTAGCAGATAAGGCAAAGTTTCAGTTAGTCTAAGACATTCAGGAATTTATTTACTTAGAGGATTTAACTTGATCTTTACACCAGAAATCAGTGTGACAGTTTACACCTTGTTTCCTAGTGCCTCCAACACCTCCTCCCTCTCTTCTGCTTCCACCTTGTTCCCCTTCTGTCTTTCTCTAAAGCCATCAGAATGAGCATTTGAAAGCCTAAATTACAGCATGTCATTCCTTTGCTGTAAAGCTCACTGGGCTCTGCGCTTTGCTAATACTAGAAACTGAAGTGCGGGCAATGGCTTGCAAGACCCTACATGGTCTACCCCTATTTTTATCACTTCTTTGTCCTCACCTCCTACTACTCTACCCATCCCTCTCCCTGTTTGGGCCACTCTGTCCTCTGGCTGTTTCTTGACCATACCAAGCAAGCTCCTGCCTTGGGGGCCTTTGTGTTGGCCATTGCTTTTACCTGAAAAGTTCCTCACCTAGATATATCAGCATAGCTCTCTTTCTTATCTTCCTTGAATCTATGCTCAAATCTCACCTTCTCCGTGAAGCTTACCCACTACCCAGTCCCATGCTGCTTGCCTCCCTACCTCTCTCCCTTTTCTGCTCTACGTTTTATCCCATGGCACTTATTGGTGTCCAACATTTCTAACAGACTATGTGGTGCATTTATTATTATATCAGCGTTGTCAGGGTTCTCCAGAGAAACAGAACCAATAAGATATATATAGATACACACAAGAGGAGTTGTTGCACATGGTTATGGAGGCTAAGAAATCTCATGATCTGTCCTCTGCAAGCTGAAGAACCAGGAAAGCCAGTGATATAATTCAGTCTGAGTCCAAAAGCCCAAGAAACTGGGGGCCACTGGCATAAGTTCTAGAATCTAAAGGCTCAAGAACCAGGAGCAGGATGTCTGAGGGCTGGAGAAGATGAAAATCCCAGCTTAAAAAAAGAGTATTTTCCCTTCTGCCTTTTTGTTCTATTGGGGTGGGAGGAGGAGGGGATAGGAGTAGGGGGTGGATAAGGGAGGCCAATGGATGGATATTGCCCTCCCACATTGGTGAGGGCAGATCTTCTTTACTTAGTCTACTGATTCAAATGCTATCTGTTCCAGAAACACTCTCACAGACACACCCAGAAATAATGTTTTACTAGCTATCTGGGCATATCTTTAGCCCAGTCAAGTTGGCACATAAAATTAACCATCACAATATCCAAGCTCCATGAGGGCAAGGATCTTTGTCTCTTTTATTTACTAAAGGATTTTAAGCAGGTAGAAGAGTACTTGGCACAAAGGAGGCACTCGAATATTTATTGAATATGAATGAATAAAAAAGCATGAATGAATTGATAGGTTGAAGTTCTATTTTAAATTATAGTTTTTGAGACTATAAAGGTAGTCATGGAATCTCTTTCAAAATTTTAGCAGCCCTTTGGGTAGTAATCCATAAGGAGTCACCAGGAAGATTGACTTTCCATCTTCATTGGAAAAGATGTACAGTCTTTCATGGGTTATAGAAATGTCACCTTGATTGCCTACTATTATTAGACAAGGTAGCCTCAATTTACTCAACTAGGGACATTTATTTCCTATTTCTGCATTCTACTTTCCACTAAAATTGACACACTACAGCTACTCATATTTCTTTTGATAGAAATTCTTAGAGTGTGTATGGGGAGAAATCCTTTCCCACTTTGAACCCATGTAGTCTTTCTGCCTCAAGTGTTTCTTCTACTATAGTTTTACCTCTGCCTGAGGATGTTAGCAAACATATAGAATGTGACTTTTCCTTCATTAGGTTCATGAAAGAAAGTTTTTCTTCTGACTCAATCTTGGATCCTCCTTAGGGTGCTTGACTTTTGTGTTGACTGAGACAGAGCCCCTCCAACACTCTTCAACCTTTCCTTGCTTGAGGAAATCATTTGTAATACTCCAGATGTATTCTTTTTCTTTCTACTGGAGAGGCTGAAGGACCCTAGGAAATAATAGCAACAGCATTTGATGCCTTTAGGTATGTGCATATCACCCAGGAATTGGGCAGTTTCAGGGACTGTTCTTAGGAAAATCGGGACAACAAATGGTA